ATATAAGAATGCCCGTCGGGGACCTCTGGACCCCCTCACTCGCTTAGACCGCCCTTTCAGGGAATTTCAAGCAAGGTCGTCGGGGAAAATCCAAATCTCGAGCTCCGACAGTACAATTCAAGCATGCCTTACTAAGCTGTCACAATTTCAGGAATTAAAAACTGTTTAGTGCGAGCTGTGCTACCGTATGTGCAAGGTCTTGTATACTATTGCGATTGTATGGGTCGCAGTGGTGCGCCAGCTCTTCCCGACAGGGGGCTGGTACCTCCAACAGTGGGTTAGTACCCCCGACGAGGGACTAGTACCCCTGATATCTTTTAAAATAAAGAATCCCATAATTAATACAAACTTTTATTATTTTTAATAAACAAATTAAATTTTTTGCTTACCAGGAAGTGCGGGGCTAGGCTTCATCGACGTGGGTGAGGGCATAAACCCTCTTGTCGGGGAGCTTCCACAACTCATCAAGGACCTTATGGTGCCACCCCTGAAACCTGTTTTGAAAGGTGGGAAGACATTTCGTGAGACCACACCGACATCAGCCCCATGTCTGGGGCTGAGGTGCGAAAATTTTAGGAAAGAGTACTAAATTGCCGGAAATGACACTCTTTATTGTAAAATTCATCATCGCATCACTATTATTTCCCATAGGCCTAATCTTTTATCAGCGATTTTCGGTAACCATAGAGATCTAATTATATGTGTGATGTAGCATAGAAAATAAAACTTAAAAAACATTGTCTTTTATGTAAACACTTTACCTAATGCAAAGCTATGAGCCCAGCACCACCTGTGCAAAAATTTGAATAAACTTCTATCACCGATATTCGGCAATCAGAGTTCTAAATAACCTGTTGGGAAATAGTACCTCTAATTGGCCGGAAATAACACTTTAATGTAGTAAAATTCGTCATTATCACATCACCATTATAGTAAAAAATGAAGTGCCAACAAATTTCTCATATCTTTTATTAGCGATTTTGGGCAACCAGATGTACCATAGATAAGAAAAATTTTAAAAACATTGTATTTGATGTATTTACTTTTACTCTGCCTACTTCGAAGCCGTGAGTCCACACCCACCTTAACCCCACAAATTTGAGGAAATAGTACCTCAAGCTGGAGGCAGCAATGACATTCTTATATAAGTCGTATCATAACATCAACATGAACTTTTTATCAGCGATTTTCGGCTATCATAGAGATCTAATTAATCTCTACCATAGAAAATAAAACTTAACTCTCGTTAAGATAATTACGGTTGCCTCTCTCCACCCAGGAGTACAAGTGTGTACCTGATAGGTTCCAACACAACTGCGCTGATTACTAGCTGCAATATTATGGAATAATAATATAATTTAATTTAATAATTAAATTTGGTGTTGAGTATGTGTTCCATATGTGTTTGATCCCAATGACCGGGGTAGTAATGTGAAGCGCTTAAAGGCTTTGTGCATGAAGCGCTATATATTATTATTATTATCATTATTATTATTATTATTATTATTATTATTATTATTATTATTATTATTATTATTATAACGAAAGGCAGTGGTTTGTGTGTATATTGCAAGTATACACACAGATAATGTATTTTATGTATAGAAAATATCATGTATGTATATACAGTATGCATCTACAACTTTTCTGATATCTTCAAAAACAAGATAGCCGTTAACATCGTTAGTATATAAATCCTCAAAGAAAGGTAAATACAGTGTTCGAATAAAGGAGTGTTCATCGTGTAGCATACCTTACGAATGTTGTCCTATATACAATAAATAGGACAAATAAATACATTGTGTAATAAAATGCCTCAGACGGGATTCGAACCTGCGTCCTCTCGCTGTCAAATCGATCGTCATACCCAACCACAAATGCTATTGAAGTACAGATTCAAATAACCGTCAGGTACGTTGTATTACACATACACAAAAGTGCACACGATCCAAATTGTGTACACTGGGCCTACGGTTTATACAGTCCTTATCAGAGAAGCATTGTTCCAAACCGAACCATATTCGAGCGTGTCATTTGAACTAGCGCCAATATTATGGCTATACGATGGCTTAATCACTCGGCCATTCAACTCGCCTATATGTATATAACATATCCGTCTATTACCTTTTTCAAATCTTCAAACTTAAGGAACAGCACATTGTCTTCATGTCGGCGATTCCAAAATGGTAACAAGTGTGTTGCCCATTGTCCATACGGAACTGTAAATATATTTCAGAGAATTATGTATTGTATATGAATGATAAAATTCATTATATTCAAGAATACATTTAATTACAATAATCCCTATAGGTAAATCATTCAGATAGTTTTTGTTTTTATTTTTATTTATTTTTATATATTTTCATTCTTTCCACAAGAACATAAAAGGTTGGAACAGGGGTGCCGAGAAGGTAAAGTAAAAGTTAAGAAAACTGTTATCAAGTGCAAACAAAGACAAGAATTGATCTAATTAAAAATTATAATACTCAATACCATTATTATTCTAAATTAATATGACTATCTTATTATAATGTACAATCGTCGTTTTCAAAAATATGGGCTACACTCGCTAAACAAAGTTCAATAAAATAAAATAAACAGTTTGCACTTTCGATTTAACGTCGCTAGAACGACACAGTAGTTGTTGAGGCTGGTGTGAGCAAATTGTAAGTAGGGCCTATATAGCACCCATAAGATGAGGCTTAAGATAAAAAATTAACATAAAAATATTAGGTTTTTGAAATCATGTTCGTCTTTTTATATGTGCAGATCTCACGTAAGACGCCAATTTACTGCTGCATATAACATACTAAATGTTAGTTTGAATGAATTTTCAATACTGGAAAATTAGATTTTGATTAATATTTAAAAGCCCATGAAATGGCATTATTTTGGATATTAGCCCTACATTAATTTGAATCAGGTTTTAGGCAGCTGCATACAGGATCAAAACCATGAGCAGCAAAAAGTATGGATGGGGGGGGGGAGGTGAACAGGTGCGGATTTTACCCTTTTGGAAAGAAAAAGAAAAAAAAGATAGCCCAAAACGCCTCAGAGGCGTCTAAAAAACACAAAAAGTTCACAAGGGAATTCCCCCAGACCCCTAGGGTAGAGTTATCTCAAATGGTTTTCTCACACTTCCCCCCCCCACCTTTTCGGACATCTCTAAATCCACCCCTGGGGGGTCATCTCAAACTCGGGGCTTGTCTGATACGCGAGTATATACGGTATTAAAAAAAAAGTTTTAACGAACTTTTGCCTGTCATGAATAATTGAATGAACAGATTCCAATCAACCTCGATGTTCGTTTTTTCAAACATTGGTTTCATGAAATAATACGCTGACACTGCTGTGTCCTTAGGGTTCCTGATAACGTATAGCACCTGGAAAAGGGGAAAAACCGTTGCGTGAAAACGAATTCGTAGTTAGAACTGCGTATTCCCCGTATCAAGGTCAGTCGACAAAAACAAATATACACACGATATGGGATTTGTCGATTGACCTGGATACGGGCATGTGCAGTTTAAGCTATGAATTGGCTTATAGGTCTACAGTGCCTTTCATCTCAAAGCTGATGCAATATTATTAAATGACGTGTAATAATAATAATTGGCCTAATCTTTATTTGAATTTACACTTTTAAAACAGTGGCACACGAGAACGGTGCGTTCACATAGATTGAACATTAACAATTAACAAGTATATACACAATATGAAATTATACCGACATAACAAAGGAAATGGCAAATATAAGCCAAAACAGGTGCATAAAATACTAAAACATTGTGTAGAAAACGACTTAAAATTAAAATGTTCAGAATATTAAGAAGTGAAATTGAATATAAAACGATTTAATTAAGACTTCAGTTTAAAACATTTTGAAGATATTAAAATTTTAAAGCACAAGGTAGTTAAAATTTGAACGTTTTAAAATTATATATTAAAAAAACTGCGTTTGAAAGCTATAAAAACTTTGTATAAAAAAAACTGTATGGGTCGTTGACTTTTGTCGAAAGTTACACTTATATCGTTCTTATTTCTATAATATTTATACGTATCATTATCACCAAGTAAAAGTCGGGTTTTGGTATTCAATTCTCCAGAGATAAAGGCATTCCAAGCAAATTGACCATTAACAGTGCTGCATAGTATCTTTTCAAGCTTCATAAATTCATCTATACGAATATAATTAATATTAGAATTTTTACATGTAAACAACAGGTGTTCGATATCTTCAGAACCAGATTTACACAGTGGACAAATGTCATTTATATCATTTGTCCATTTACTTATTCCATGTACTGTAGGCTACAATATATTACAATGTTAATTAAATTGCAATTGTTGATTGATTTATTCTATTTATTAATGTACGTATATCCCGATAAACACACAACATTATAAGCACAATTAACGAAGCAACTATTAAATTGAAACAAAAAAAATATAAATAATAAATATATACTGCACGGAATATGTTTTTGCTTCCAGTAAAACATGATGATACTTGTTTTCCATTTTATACTTTATTATAGTAATTTATTAATTTATCATGTTTAATTTTACCTTTAAAATTATGTAGCCGGAGTAATAGAAAAACTTTAACCTAGACCTAACTACAAGCTCTACTTTCTTGGTTCCCGGGGCTCTTAACCTGGGAACTCATTGTGCCCGACAGTCGACACGATTCTGTGAAGAACGCAACGCGACGATGCGCGCGCAACGGATCATTTTTAATGACGATCCTTTCAGACTACCGACAATTGGCAGGCGGCTTCGCGTCGTCTATAGCTCACCGGGAGCAGAGTTGGATTCGGCGGTACGACCGTCGGCCGACGAACCAAACTCTCCTCCCTATGAGCGTTAAACGACGCAACACCGTCTTTTGATTGTCGGTAGCAGTCTGAACGCAACGGATCGTCATTAAAAACGATCCGTTGCGCGCGCGTCATGATGTTGCGTTCTTCATAAAATCGCGTCGGTCGACAGCCGACGGGCGCAGTAAGTGCCCAACTTTACTGTTCGACATCATGTGAGTGAATACATTAACTTTTGAAAATGGTGAAAGTACAACGTTGTAGCAACGTCTTACCATATAAAGCTGTGAAATGGTGAAATAACGATATATAAATCCGTGTTAAGCCCCATTTACACTAGACACGATTACGACAACGACATCGCGTAGTTTGTATTCTTGTATTGTGTCGTTGTTGTGTCGTAATCGTGTCTAGTGTAAATGGGGCTTTACTGTACACTCTCGTAATAAAAACGTCTGCATATGTTATCATCATTTTTTTTTTAATTGCCACCTTATGACTTAGGAATTTCTGTGTAAATTAGCTTTGATTCTTATGGCGTTGTTTTAACCAGCAAGCATAATCCTCTTGTCCACACCAACGCGTTAAGCTCCTCACTATCAAATTTTATGTGACAAGTTTGTGTGATGTGTCCATATATGGACATGATGATGTCATATTACACCACATATAGGAACATCACATTTATTTGACATAGAATTATATAGTGTGGACAGAGCTTAAGAACAGTCATGTGCATTAAGTTAAAAGCACAACAAACAAATTAACGTTACCGTGATTTTATCACAAAGTGCACGATTTTTCGACATACTGCTGAACTAATATTATTTATTTACCTTTGCCCTTTTTTCAAAGACTTGCCTTGGAAGAAATTTCAAAGGTAGATGCGTTACAATTAGGCGAGGTGATGGTAACTGTTCGTAGTACTTGTAACCGTAACTTGTCGTACCGTATGGTGTTGTAATTGGTGTTGGAAAAAACCACTCCAATAACTGAGAGTCTTTAAAACCTCTTTCCAACACCTTTTCGAAGTCACCGTCAAACCGTAGTAGCTGTATAATCTGCATCAACCAATGTGTGCCTTTCGAACAAAAATAATACTAGTAAACAATTCATATTTCCTGATCGTATTTGTATAGTGTGTTCCAGAGACAAACAATAAAGAGAGGGTTGACGTGTATATGTATATAGGCCTATGTATATATATATATATATATATATATATATATATATATATATAAAAAAAAAATATCTCAATTTTTTGTGAAACAGTGCTCAATCCCACTGTATACGTGCCGCTTGGGAATGGGTTGGTTTGTGTATATACGTACTGTATATTAAATAATATGGTTTTACCTGATTTGGGGTATGTGCACAGCCAAATATCGTCGTCGCGAACTTCGAAGTCCTTCATATTTTCCAGCACTTCCGGAGTCACATCCTTCAGCAGCGCAACCCCTTCATATTCCCATAAGAGAGAATCCATACTGAAAGAACAGGCAAGTCCAACGATCGGTTTATAGCAAGCGTACCGTAACAGTGTCTCAACGAATAGTGCTAAGAAAGCACTGTTTTTTTGTTGTTCTTGTTTTTTTTTATTGTTCTTGTTGTTGTTTGTTTCCAACTGAACTGATTTCGGCCTATTATATACGCTTGTAAAATTAACTCTCACCTACATTGGAGAATCTCAGAGTACCGGTACTTAGCAGTGATTTTGCAAGTATCAAAAATTAATAGTTCAAATGTTAGGTCGTCGTAACTATGGAACGCCCACAGTGCCTTCAGCGGCGGCTATAGCATTCGGCTGCGCATTTACCATTCGGCGACCCATTTATTTCGGCCCATTTAGCATTCGGCGGCGACTTTTTCTATTCGGCGACATTTTGCGGCCCACTTTTTATTTTTTATTTATTTATTTATTGACACTTCACCTTTAGAAAGGTGGCACACGCAACTCTTGTGGTGCCGTCTAACAACAATAACAACTAAGATACCAAAGTAACAACCAATACAAAAACAAATCATATAAAGAAAAGCAAATTATTAACCAGGAATGTAAAAAAAAAAAGGAAAGCCAGTAGCTTAACTCAAAAAGTTTTTAACTACAGTATGAGCTTAAATTTTGGAAATGTAAACTAAAGGTACAGAATCAAAACGTAATAAAAAAAAAATCAAAATTAAAACAGGAATTTCAAAAATCAAGTAAAAAAAAAGAAAAAGCACCAAAATCATGAACATATGTGTGTGTATCCATACACCCATATACACATGCACATACACACACATATACATGCACACACAAACACTCACACATGCATACACATGTACACATACACACACATACCCACATATATTCGCACATACTTGCATAATATACATACTGTATAAACTCATAAAGAAAACAAGAATTTAAAGCAACAATACGTAGGTTTAAACCATTTTCCAATTAACTCAGAGTCTTTTTTAATTCTGAGCGTTTTTCCCAGGCATTTATTGCATATTTTTTACAGTTACTCTCAAAAATAAAAGCAGAATCATCACAAAAAGAAACCCTCGAGTCTGCTCCTAAAATATACAATAATTTATCATCAGCAATTGATGATGTAAAAAATGTCCATGTATCAGAAAGATCACAGAGTGCAAGTTTACTTCTTAAATTTGTTAGTTCTTCGTTTCTAATGTCGTCAAATGCCGTACATTTTAATAAGAAATGCTTTACATTATCATGATACGTCTGACACGTATTATTCATGTTTATTCGGCGACCACCGGGGTCGCGGTGAAATTCCAACTGCTGGTACAGGAGGCTATACGGAACTTGATATGTAGAACGACGACCATCCGGCGCTCCGTGTGACAAGTGTATCATGATTGATAGTGTCCTTTACTGTTTCTTTTCGCCCACCCTGATGCAGTGGCGGATCCAGGGTGGGGGGTTCAGGGGGTTCGGACGAATCCCCCCTCTGTGAAGAAACGTAACAAAATACTACTGGGTCCTGGCTTACAAAATTCATGCTATCTAGACGCGGATCCTGACCTTCACCCACTTCGCCCAGGCGAAGGTCAGGGTGAGAATTCAAAATAAAATGTTGAACATTTTTTCCAACAATCATACTTACTTTCCTTTACACTTATTTTGAACATTACTATTAGGAAAATGTTTAAATCCACACTATCCTATACCTTACACTTTTACACTGATTGTGCTGTTGGCCCTACCAGTGAGTACATTCCCAATACAATATGGTCTTCCACTTCTATAGCGCATGATACAATGCATAGCAAACGTTATGTAACCACTAATAATCAGGTTCAGTGGCGTAGGTATAGGTATTACAGTCATTGCACAGCACTGGGGCCGGGGCTATTGGGGGCTCGTTAAATAGGTCTAATGATCTAAATATAAAATCCTATTTAAACTTTAAAAGGACCCTTCAATAATATTAGGTTTTAGAGGCTATAATTATTGATTATATTCATTACAATTTACCTATTTCCCAAACGCTGCAGGAAAAAAAAACATCAACAAAACAAGCCCTTGCGTCTACGATGCACTAATACTTTTTGAAATAAAGCAATACAATATCGTCACGCACATTTGCGTTTGTAGTATTTTAAAGTTGGTTCAACTATTATTGTGTACTAACTTCATGAATACATTTTAGATTTAGTTCACTGCAAGTAGGTCGATGATTGTTCTATTACTGAATGGTAATTGTTATTATCGTGATGGAATAGACAATAGGCCCTACCTGGATTCGCGTCAGGAGAATCAATTAGAGGTCTATGTATTTTGCCCAACCTGTCGTGAAAATGTATTGAATACTCAGTGCGTGATGCATTATTATACTTTCTGAAATCACATTTCTAAAGCAATAAAATATCGTCACTCACATTTGCATTTGTTGTAGTTTAAAGTTGGTTCAACTATTATTGTGTACGTTTTTAAACACTTCAGATCACCATAACTTCATAAATACATTTTAGATTCACTTCACTGCAAGTAGGTCGTGGACTGTTCTATCATTGAATGGTAATTGTTATTATCGTGATGGAATAAACAAAAGACCTGGATTTGCGTCAGGAGAATCAATTAGGTGGCCTATTATGTGTAATTTTGCAACAACCTGTCGTAAAAATGTACTGAATACTCATGCGTGTGAAAACACTTGCAAAAAATATTTGCAAGTTGTTCTCCAGTGGGACTCGAACCCACGTTCTCCAGATCACTAGCTTGGCATCATACCTCCAGACCACCGAGCTTGCACCTGATGGCCAGGGTTAAATTCAAGCCCAAGTAAGCAGCGAGTACTGTTTTTGCAAGTGTTTTCACACGCACTGAGTATTCAGTACATTTTCACGACGGGTTGGACAAAATTCCACCTAGGCTATGTTCTATTGATGTTGTCAATATTAAAATATATCATAGATTCATGAAATACCTAATAGGCCCTAAACGATAAACCATAGCTTGTTATTCTTAACATTTTTAAACAAAATGTTTTTTAAATATTTAATCTGAGCGTTAATGCCGTACCGTATCTGTTTTAAAAAATTAATGTATGAGTATTAAGAGTTTCGCCTGAGTAGACCCCACTAAAGGCTCTGTCTCTATGTCCGATCATTTTCATTTTTACCAATTTTACCTAGGGCCCGGCAGTTATCTATGCCATAGTTACCAACCGTCACGCATCGTGCGGGACAGTCCAGCGTTTCAAAGTGATTTTTGATGAAACGCATTTTGCAGAAACACATGCCAGATCATAAATGTGTCACGCATTTAGCACTTGCGTGATAACGAATTATCACAAATTCAGGGGAAAACGTATTTAAAATTAGAAGAAATTGGTTTTATTAATAATATAAAAACGGTCATACAGTAGCTTGAATCATTAGATCGTTATCTCGTTCGAGAATCAATTCACAAAGAAAATTTCTCCTTTCCGACCAAAACAACCCAGCCAACCGCGCACTTGTAGAATCTAGTAGTCGCCAGCACCCTTGCGAGTTTATTGTTACAACCAACCGTTGATTATGTGACGGGAACCCGAACTTCCGCAGGGGTTCCGTAATAAGCAATACCGTAAACACTCGCGTATGTCCTATAAGGTGACCCGTGTATAAGACGACCCCCGAGTTTTAGAATTTTTGGTTGATATTTGTATGTCTGGCGTATAAGACGACTCCCTGTTTCATGGTCGGAATTTAAAGATAGGCGCTATATGACTATTATCTCTAAATGTTAACCTTATAAATTAGGGTGAAAGTTGTGCAACAGTGATATGTAATAAAAAGCTGGGAGCAGTCATGTACGTACTGTTCCCGGGTAAAAGATGGCGGATGTGGGGTAGGCCTGCAAACAATTGTAGGCTATATGATAGATATCTGATTTTATTTGGAATATGAATGAAACAGTAATTAATGTATGCAAGCTTTAGACCTCTAATTAAAGAAGAACAGATAACTAATTCCCATCACACAGACAAAACATACTGTAGGCCTAGGGTATGGTAGGCAATTTTTCTGTAACTATTTGACTTTTAAAAATAGATGAAAGTTGGTAAGGATATGTATTGACAAGTAAAGTATGATAGATGTGGGGCAGTGGCGGACCGTAAAGTAAATTGCAGGGTATGCTAGGTATTGGCATATCTAGGATGTACAGGGGGGCGCACGTCCTCTCCTACCCCTGAAAATAATATACATCCCCAGTCGCGCCCCCCACCCTCCGCCCACAAATCATGCTCAAGTAATTAAAAATCCCCTGATATCACTTCAATGTAGTCCCAGCTATAGAACAAATCTAAGTCCCAACAGTTTAGTTTTGACAATATAATCAAGTATTATCAAACAATCGTTTCAAGGGCGGGTCCAGGTTTATCCCAACTCCCAAAAATAGAGAAAAAAAGAGAGAAGAAAGTCCAGAAATAAGGGAGCATGGCGTCGGGTCACTGTAGGCCTATTCCAAAACAAGCTAATTTTTGTTTTAATATCTGTCTCATCATTTTGAAACAAAATTCTTTCTCCATATCCACCCTTTATGGATGGAAGGATATATTCAGTGTAAACACCAAGAATAATCAACAAATTTGTTTCCAAACAAGTTTCGAAATTTAGCTTTATTTGTCATTTCGGCAATAATTTTTTTACAATAACACAGTAGGCCTTTAATATAATCACAAGTGAAATAAACAATATATATGGCCAATCGGAACCGTTCTAGGAACGTGATTGTCACACTTCACAAACACACTTGCTGTTCCACTAACGCTTTTGCTGACGTTTTTATCCAAGAGACACAGCTTAACGGAAATGTTTAGGAGACTCTGATGCAACAACAAATTATTCCTACCTGTTAACTAAATCTGCTACGATAGTGTCTGAACTGTAGTTAAATGCCTTCTAAAAATCCCAAAGAAACCATGTAGGCCATTAAAAATCCAAAGATATTAATGGTGCTAATACAAGTGGACTTCCATGTAATAATTTAAGTATTGTCTCCATAATTATAATGTGATATTTATATAATTACTGGCATTCATTTTTTTTTAAAACATATCTTATTTTTACATAAATTTTAAAAACATTCAAAATAGGCCTATAACTGTAAATGTAATACAGTATTATATTTCAACTCCATTATGTAGTCCTGAACCTTTGTTCATGAAAACCTCGTCAGACGCCAACCCATATATGGATGTCATGATGGATATATGGATGTTAAATGACATCATTTTTATATATGGATGTTGTATGATCACCATGTCTGTATATGAATGTGATATGACATCATCATGTCCATATATGGATGTGATATGACATCATCATGCCCATATATGGATGTGACGTGACATCTTGATGTCCATATATGGATGTTGAATGACATCATTTCCATACATGGATGTTGTATGATCATCATGATATAGATGTGAAAGGGCATTATCATGTCCATATATGGATGTGATATGACATCATCATGTCCATATATGGATGTGATATATCATCATGCCCATGTTATGAGTTGTTTACACACATTTGTCACATGAAACATCTTATTATGCCTAGATAGAGAGCTTTAGCCGTCGAAACTGTATAATACCTATTCATACTCAAATACTAGTCCCGTTCCTTTCAGGTAATTCCTTATTATTTCATCATATGCTGAACTCTGAGATACGGTAAATGTGCATTTCCAATCACCAACAATACCTGAATGATAAACAAAATGAATCATCACATCTTATCTTATCTTCACCAATTGATATTATCATCACTATGGTCAACTGTCATGATAATAAACACCGCCACTGCCACATCATCATCTTCATCATCACCTACATCTGCATCATCACCTTCATTATCATCATCACCTTCATTATTATCAACCTCATTATCATGGAGGGAGAGTAATAGAGCAGTCGTAAGGGATTAGGCTCAGTTGATGACACTAAATTTTATTAGCTTCCATACTCGAATTCTTTTTACTCAACTTAATTCGCTCGTTGGTGGCGCTGTCCAGTAGGAGGGCGCTGGCTAGAAGGGGTGGGGGAGATGGGGATTGTGAGGAAAGGTGCTACTCTTAAGTTAACGTGAAACGCAATTCAGTAACCAATGCAGACTTCTCAAGTACTACGGATTGTCCGTAGTTGGTACCATTTCTACGGACATTTGGCCAAATTACGAACGTACACAAATGAACTACTACTACCTAATGCCTAACTACTACGGAAATATTCCATTTCTACGGAAATTATAATTTTGTCCAACTTAATTATAAAAACCCAATTATTCTCAAAAAATAGTCAGTCTGTGTAGGCCAAATGTCTGCCGGCTACGGTAAACGCCATGTGACCTCATGATGGAGTGCGAGACGCCAAAAAAATATACCGGTAGTGATTAATCGCAATACGACAGAAATGTTTATCAGATTAACTAATTTATTTATGTGTTTATTTTACGTGTTTATTTATATTGTTATTATACTTTGGTCGATATTAGATACAAATATGTAAATATATATACTAATAATTAAAAGAAAAGAATACGATTTACTTTTCTAAATCAAATTTTTAAAGAAACCTTTGAATTATGTATTTTTTCGGTAATTTTCATACATTTCTGTCCGTCCTCTAACCCTGGTTTTTGCGAACGTCCCTCTTTGTCTCCTTGCCTTGCCATTCCTGTTATATGGACGAGTCTAGGGCTTCTTTGTTCCTCTCTCGATTCGTTTTTTTTTTTCTCGATTCTGTATGTTCTTTATTTTTAATTTGAAAGTCATGAAAATATATATATTCTTTTTGTGAACGTTTTAATTGCTGCATTTCTGCTTTCATTATTATATGATTATTTTTTTCAATTATCCAAACCTCTGATAAAGGAAGGCCACGAAAAAGCTAGTCCTAAAAGTGGTCGTTAATTGGAGGGAGACCTATATAAACTTTTAATTTTTTTAATTGTCAAATCGTTTTCATAATTACTCATTTCAAAATAAGAAAAAATAGACATACGATACTACATAAACAAGGTAACAAAATATGCCTCACTAGCGGGTACGCATAAGTTGTCCCAAATTATGTTGTGCTTTTGAACAAAAAGTCCCGCTTTCCGGATCGAAAAATGAGAATCATTGCTACACTAGCAGGGAACCTTTGTTTTCTAGACGCACGAACATAACCTCTCAGGCGTTTTGGGCGATCAATATTTTTTTTTAGTCATTTTTTTTCCTTTCCAAAAGGGAAGCAGCTCGGCCCACGCACCTTAATCCACCCCTGTCTAAGATCAAATAGAAAAATGCTTTGTAGCTCTGTGATTTTCTTGGCGTACCATTTTTGGGATGCGCATAACATGCTTGCGGAACGTTGCTATAGACTAAGAAGACAATACCGTACCTTTACGCACAAAATTTCCTACACCGACCTGTTTCACAGCGTCGGATACTTCGTTATCCATGACTACTTTTGTCTTTTTAGCCGATGAGTTTT